CTTGTAGGACAAGTTTGGGACTCTATAAATAGGGGTGAAAATTAGAGATAAAGGTGTGCCAATACAAGAGAGAGCAATTGAGAGAGATTGAGAGAGAATTCTCCTTGTAATTCTTCATCTTTTTCATAGTGAATTTGTTTGGTGTGCTCCATGGACGTAGCCCTAAGATTTGGGTGAACTATGTATATTTTGTGTTCTTGTGTGTGATTTTTTCTTTGCGATTGCTTGATTATTCCTCAAACAACGTGCGTTGTTATTTTGCGTTTCCGCCGCAACAACTGGAATCAAATTCGGTTGATTGTGTAGTGCAACTCTAACAATGTGTACAAGCCAAACAACCTAGGAAACCTCAAAAGTAGTTATGAAGAATACAAAAATTCTAGAACTTATACATAGTGATGTGTGTGATTCCAATAAACCGCCAACTAGGGGTGGCAATAAATACTTTGTTACTTTTATTGATGATTTTTCTAAGTATTGTTATGTGTATTTGACAGACTAAGGATGAGGTTTTTGATAGATTTAAAGTTTGCAAGAGTGAAGTAGAAAATCAAATGGAGAAAAATATTAAAAGATTGAGGTCTAATAGAGGAGAAGAATATTCTTGGAACAAACTTGGAGACTTTTGTGAGGAACATGGAATTATACATGAAGTAACTCCTCCATATTCACCTCAATCAAATGGAGTAGCCGAAAGGAAAAATAGAACTCTCATTGGCATGGTTAACTCAATGTTATTAAGTAGTGGTGTACCCGAGAATTTGTAGGGGGGAAGCTATGCTCGCCGCATGTTTCATACTCAATCAAGTAACTATCCAACTTAATAATTGAACTCCATATGAGTTATGGAAAGGTAGAGTACCTAATCTTCAAATCCTAAAAGTATGGGGGTATCTAGCTGAAGTACACCTACCTGAGCCAAAAAGAAAAAAAATAGGACTTAAAACCATAGATGCCATCTTTATAGGATATGCTCAATGTAGTAGTGCCAATAGATTCTTAGTTTTTAACTCTGAAGTTAGTGATATAGCAAAAAATTCAATAATAGAATCTAGAGATGCTACCTACTTTGAAGATATGTTTCCTTATAAGTCTAGAATACCAAGTCAAATAGTTGATAGATCTTCAACCTATTATAGTCATTTAGCATCTTCTACTAGTACACCATTAGTGGAAGATTCTCAACCACAAGAACTTAGAAGAAGTAAGAGACATAGAGTAGAAAAGAATTTTGGAGATGACTTTTTCACATACCTAATCGAGGGTGATCCAACTGCATATAAAGAAGCAATGTCATCTTTAGATGCTCCTTTTTGGAAGGAAGCTATAAATGACGAGTTTCAATTTATATTACAGAATAACACTTGGGTTTTAACTAAGTTACCTCCTGGTAATAAGGCTATAGGTTGTAAGTGGATTTTCAAAAGGAAGTTAAAGCTCGATGGAAGTATAGATAAGTATAAGGCTCGACTAGCAGCTAAAGGTTTCACCCAAAAGAAAGGAATAGATTATTTTGACACATATTCCCCCGTGACTAATATCACAACCATTAGAATACTAATTACTTTAGCTTCTATCCATAGCTTAGTTGTGCATCAAATAGATGTTAAACCGCATTTTTAAATGGTGACTTAGATGAAGAAATATATATGGAGCAACCTGAGGGATTTATAGTAAAAGAACAAGATAATAAGGTGTGTAAATTAGTTAAATCCTTATATGGTCTTAAGCAAGCTCCTAAACAATGGCATGAGAAGTTTGACAAACTAATCTTAGATTATGGATTTAAGATTAATGATAATGATAAATGTGTATATTATAAGGAGAATAATGGAGAAAATGTTATATTATGTTTATATATGGATAACATATTAATTTTCGGGGTAAACTTAGAAATTGTATGTGATATAAAGTTCTACCTCTCAATGAATTTTGAAATGAAGGATTTAGGAGAGGCATCAGTGATCTTAGGCATGAAATTGAAAAGAATTTCTCGAGGTATCACCCTTAATCAATCTAGTACCATTGAGAATATGTTAAAGAGATTTAACTACACCGAGTGTTATAAAGTCTTGACACCATATGATCCAAAAGTACCCTTAAAGAAGAATGAAGTCGAACCTATATCTCAATTAAAATATTCTCTAGCTATAGTCTCTATTTTATACTTGGCAAATAAAACTAGGCCTGATATTGTTTATGCTGTTAGTAGACTTAGTAGATATACGCATAATCCAAGTAAGGATCATTGGATGACGATAAATAAAGTATTTAAATATCTCAAGACTACCATAGATTATTCCTTGTGCTATAAAGGATTTCCAAATGTGGTGGAAGGATATAGTGATGCAAATTGGATAACTGATAATCTAGAAGTAAAATCAACTATTGGTTATTTATTTCTTCTTGAAGGAGTTGTTATTTCTTGGAGTTCTAAGAAATAAACTATTATCTTGAGGAGTACTATGGAATTTGAACTCATAGCCTTAGATACTACTTGTAGCGAGGCTGAGTGGATCAAAGGCCTATTACTAGATCTACCTTTAGTAGATAAGCTGATGCCTACGATATCGGTACATTGTGATTGTAAGGCGGTTATTGATTTGGTGAATCAATTCCATACAAACAAGAAGGTGAGTAGATATATACAAGTGAGATATAAATCCGTGACAACCTATTGAGTAGGCATGTGATCTTATTAGACTTTGTACGATCTGAGAAAAGTATAGCTGATCAGCTGACCAATGGTCTTTTTAGGAAAATTGTCTTAGATATGTCGAGGGGGATGTTAAGCCCTAAGAAAGTCACCTACAGGGGTAACCCAACCTTCTTATTGGCAATTTTATCACATGATGAAAGGTTCAATGGGTAGAAACAATCTGTACTGCGTGACTCATTGACAACATTATTTTATTAGGAGGTTTCTTGAGGAGATTCTTTCATGTTCATCCATATGGCATCAGTATTGTGATGTGACGTTAAGGAATGGTTCTGCCCTAAATGATTCCAAGGCAAGCATACTCTTGCAAGGGTATAGGTCACATATACCCTTGGAGGATTCACCTAAGTGAGAGCCATGGTGAGGCCGCGACTATGAGAATTGGGCTGATCTCTAGTAACTCTCATAAGAATCAAGATATCAGCGCATGGCCATTAATAGCGTTACCCCGCTTGACCAAAGTCTCTCGTTGATATTATGTGTATAATGTGTTGAAGTTTGGTTTAAAGGGCCAAATTCAAGACATAGTTCATTATGGTTCTTCAAATGGAAATAATTACACTAAGTGAAGGTTCAAGCTCAGAAAGTACCTACCCCCATTGCATAGTATTATGTTGCCCATGTTATTTTTATATATTATATACACATTTTTGATTTTAAAAAGTTTTAAAATCTTGTGGGGGATTGTTGAGATTTTAAAAGATTTTAAAATATTTCAATATCCCTTTATTATTTAATTTCATTATTTGAATTTTATATTGTAACTTACGGAATTAATTTACATGGACGTTGCACTATAACGTATATAATTTATTAGGTTTTTATTTTAGTAAATAAAGAGTTAGCCGTTTTGGCTTCTTTGAGGAGGCCTGTAAATATGTCAGTGGGATACACTCAAAGGAATATACCAAACTGCTCTATCACATTTGCGCATTACTTTTCTAGCGATTATCCTATCGATATCCTTCATATATTTCACATATATTTTCACTATTTTGGGTAACTTGACATTGGAGACTTGGTCCTTTTGCCTTCCTGTGGGCGTGCACATAGAGGAGGCGCCACTGAAAGCTGATCGGGTTGTATCTTGGAGTTGACTAGCATCGTCCGCACCTGCACATAGGGGAGGGCTATCAACTGTAAGTCAACGTGTTTATCACATGCCTCTCTATATCAGACAGCCTTTCTTTAACTTTACTTTTATATTTTATTTGTTTTATTTCTTTTATATGTAACGATTATATTTAAATTGTACGTTTATATATATATTTGTATGCAACTAATATCATACAAAACTACTATATTATCATTGATTTAATTTCTGCAAAACTTACTTTAATTGTCAATTATATTTATATAATATTTTGTTGTGGTTCGTTTATAATATTTTAGTGCATAAAATTATATTTCCATAACATTGTGATAGCAGAAAAATCAATCAATTTTATCAATAATATTTCAGAATTTTGTAAGAATTTCTTCTAGTTTGTAGATTCAAACTACCTATCCAGTAGATTCAAGATAACCCTTGTTCCTTGTGAACATTTATCACTTTCCGCTATGTCATAAAGTCATTTCAAATGCCCAATCACAATAACACGCCGCCTTACCTAGAAGTAAGTATTAAGTGCGATTGTACACGGTGTTTTGCTTTTACCTTTCCAAAAAAAAAAAAAAAAAAAAAAGTATTGGGTGTGATTGGCGCACCATGCACCGGGCGCATTTGAGCCGTACATACACTACACGTGCTGGCGCGTTTATATCTTGGATGTGTGAATTGGGCGCACCCAATATCTATTCTTTACCTAGGCATTAAGGTTTAGTGATATTTTTTTTACTTTTTAAACTAGATGGCAAGAGTTCAAATCTAAAAAGAGACAAAAACGATGTGTAAGTGGTACTTGTTCCGGTACCCTTTAAAACAAAAAGAATAAAGAATCCCCAATAACAATAATTATGGATTTAAAAAAATCCATAAAAAACCAAAGGAGAAGTTTGTCTCTAATTTAATAGAGTAATTTCGTTTTTCATCAAATTAACTAAAACTTTGAAAACAAGATGCTTCGTCAATTCTCATCAATTTAACCAAAAAATTGAAATCAAAACTAATTTTTCGGGTAATAAAGAAAAACTAATTTTCGATGATTTTTTCTTTTATGTATTTGGAAACCAAACCCCCCTCCAAATCTTGAAGATTCCCTCACCAAACAGTCTACGTGGGCATCATTTAATGCAGCGTTACGAATTATATAATGTGTTTATATATATTATATCTATCAATATATATAAATCTGTAGATAAGTGCAATGAGTTGCTTCCTCAAATCCCCTTTCTTTTAAAAAGCTCAAAAAAAAAAACAAAAAAAAAAAAAATTGTAACAGAAGGAACCCAGTTGGAGACTTTTTCTTGGGAAAGAATTATATACACTTTCTTGGGGAAGAACTATATATACATATATATATATATATGTATATATATATATAAACCCAGAAAGCAAAGCAATCTTCTCTCTTCTTTATTTGAGTTCCGGTAGCAACAAGAAAGAAGAGAAGTGCAGAAGTGTTGTTGGGCTGTGCCGGTGCCCATGGACGATGATGTGATGCAGCGAGTATTCCAAGAAGGGGGGAGAGAGTACTACCAACAACCCTCCACTTCTTCGTCTTCTTCTTCCATTCTCCAATCCCTCCCTCTCCATGTGGTATGCAACTCCTCTCTCTCTCTATATATCTTACCTGATACAGATTCTGGGTTTCTTGAACAAATGTTTGATTGGGTATTCATTTTCACTGCAAATTTTTGATTGGCTATTCATTTTCACTGCAAATTGGGATAATTTTTTGCTGGATATTTGTATGCTTATAAATATATTTATATATAATTTTATATGTATGTATGTGTTTGTTTTAGTGGTTGATTGTGTTATTGATGCTGGGTTGCACTTCAATTACCCCTTTCTTGGTGGTGTATCACGAGCTTTATGGTGTTGAACATTAGCATTGCGAAAGTAATATAGAGTAATCCGATGCATTAGTCCAGTCAGGACTCAGCAGCCATCTCTCCCAACTTGTCTTTCCCTTACCCTCATTTACGACCTATAAAGAGGCATACACCTGATGTCAAGCATCAACATTCTCCGGAAGGAACTGTGCCTTTAAAAAATCCTCCCACGTATCAACAACACATCCTCTGCTAGGTGCATTGTTAAGGCGGTGAGATGATATCTTAAGCAGTTCATTCCAGGACCCTTGACACTTGAAGTTGGGTTATCTTGTATCTTGAATTTGGATGCTGGTGTTAGAATTTTTTGGACAAGTCATGCAATTGAATGTTTTAGTTGTGTGATCTAACTTTTTATCTCTATGGCCCATTGTGGGTTTTGGAATTTTGCAGTCCTTTGATCATGGGTATTACTTGCTTGTTAAATCTATTCAAGAGCTTAGAGAGAAAAAAGAGGGCCTCGTGACGGTCGGTATTGGTGGTCCGAGTGGGTCGGGTAAAACAAGGTATACATGGTGTATATAGTTGTATTATATAGTTGTATATGGGAAAAAAGTGGGTGAGAATTTGTTGAAAATGTTTTCAGTACATATAGCAATTGTGATCTTTGAATTGTTATAACTAATCTTGTCAATTTAATGGTCCCTGAAGCTTAGCAGAGAAGGTGGCATCTGTGATTGGTTGTTCTGTTGTGTTGATGGAGAATTATCGTGTTGGAGCTGATGAAGGGAATGATTTGGATTCAATAGATTTCAATGCTTTAGTCCAAAATCTTGAGGTATGCTGCTGCTTCTCATTTTTATTATCGTGGAGCTGAATTGATATTTACTTATTTGGTTTATTTAAATCATGTCAAAGCACTTAGCCAAGCCCCTAAAAGTTTTTAGTTATGCATAAGAAAGCCAGTATTGAACTGAGTGTACTAGTTTGGGATTTTCTTAGTCTAGCTTGAGTAAAATTTTTGTTCATCTCTCTTTAACCTCAACATGGCAAAATCTAATTAATTTATGGACATGATTTCTTAAATGAAGTTTAGATGTGGTGGTGGCGGTAACAGCTGCTAAAATTTGGTATTGGATTAATTATCTTCTTGCTTGGCTAACTCATGATGATGATTGTCTAATTATGTGTAAGGTTATTGTTGTATTCTCACATTCTGAAAACTGCTTTTGTGTTTAAATAGGATTTGATAAATGGTAGAGATACACTGACCCCAGTCTTCGATTTTCAAGCAAAAAGACGTGTTGGTTCTAAACCAATAAAGAGTACTTCATCCGGAGTGGTAAGTGTGCATGTAAGTACTGTTTTGCATAAACAGTACTTATAGTCCTATTGATGGTCCTCTTGATTTTATTACGTAAACTGTGTCCTACTGATTTTATTACGTAAACTGTGTAGGTAATAGTTGATGGTACTTATGCCCTACATGCAAGACTGCGCTCTTTGTTAGATATTCGAGTGGCAGTGGTATATTTTCCTTCTTGAAGACTTGAGAGTTGTATTATGATTCTGATGTTGCTAAGGAGTTTTAGTATAATGTTCGATAAGAATATACATGTTATTTGTTTTGTGGGTCAGGTTGGTGGTGTTCATTTTAGTCTTCTTTCCAAAGTGCAATATGATATTGGCGAATCTTGTTCATTGGACTACCTTATTGACAGCATTTTCCCTTTGTTTAGAAAGCATATTGAATCAGACCTGCATCACGCACAGGTTGGTTTTAAATATTCTAGCTTCATAATTTTATCTGCTTATTGTTGATTTGTTGTTTTAATCATGCAGATCAGAATTAATAATAGCTTCGTTTCATCATTTAGAGAGCCAATATACAAGCTGAAATGCAAAAGTGAGGTCCGTAAGTATACCTTTCACATGCAGGAGTTGCACCTGCCCTTCTGTTTCATGCAGTTACTTGCCTAGAAGATTTATGTAGATGTAGTCCAATTTTCATACAGAAATTCAACAAAGCCAGCATATTATAATCTTTATATGGTTTCAGTTGGAACCAACAAATTTCATTATCATAAAAAGCTCTTTTGTTGTTTTTTGTTTTCTTTATTCTTTTTCTATAACAAATAATGACTGGTTTATGTGAGGTTGAACTAGGTTGAATTTTCATCCACATCGACAAGCTTACATCTCTCTCCCCCTCACCACTTATCTCATTTTTCATGTTACCATTTGATGAAGAGAGCTGCAAAAATAATGAGTTTAATTTGGAATGTGCTCGAAATAAATCATTTGGTGGACTGGGATATGGTTTTTTCTCATTGAAAGAAGAGGAATGGGGTATAGAAAAATTTGGCTTTTGAATCAAGCTTTCTGGAAAAAGGGTCATAAAGATTCGTGAATAATGGAGAGTTTGTAGAGTGTGTCGGAAAGGCAATTGGAAGTGATGAAGTTTGTTACATCTCTAATGAAGTTGGGAATTTTCGTGGAGCAGGAGTGTGGAAGGGTGTCATAAATGGTTAGGAGTTTCTCTTAGTGCTTTGCTTCCCAGTGGCAGACAGACAAAGGTGTGCTTTTGGGAAATGGTCTTATTGGTCATATTTCTGGACTTTTTCTGTGTTGCGTCAACAATGAGGCATATACAGCTAAATAAGGGTGGAGTAATGTAAAATTCCATGTTTAGTAGGGCTGTATAGGTCTGGGGTTTAGAATCTAAGGATGAATTTCTTGAACTGCTGTTTAAGGTTCATATCTTTGTAAATAGAGAGAATTTGTTGTGGTGGAAAGGCATTTAGGAGTGGCAGGTTCAGGTTAAAGTCTTTTTACCATGTGTTTGGTGGATAAGATGTTACTACCATTATTTGCAAACACATAAAGCAAATCAAAATGCCTCTAGAGGTGCCTTTCTTTGTTTGGATGACATATCTAGAGGTTATTTTGACCATCAATGATATTATGTGTGGAGGGAAGATTCTTACAAATCAGTGTTGCATATGTAAGGCAGTAGAGTATGATTCTTCCAAATTGCTGTTGTTTAAAGTGGTAGATGTATGGGTGCAAATCAATTAAGTTGAGTGAGCTTGAGAATGTTGGGGCTTGGCTCGTTGAATTATAGGACCGTTTTGGCTCGGTATAGGCTCCTAACAAACTCCAAAAAATTGTGTGTGAGCTTGGCTCTGTTTTTCTCCAATTGACACAACTTGGCTTGTGAGCTCGTAGAATATAAATAAAGTTGATGTTGGGTAAAGTGCTATAGTCAGGGATGCAAATCAATTAAGTTGAGCGAGCATGAGAATGTTCGGCTCGGCTCATTTATTTGTAGGCTTGGTTCAGGCTCCTAGTTACCTCTTGACATAGAAATGGTAGATTGATCCACCACTCTCCTCGAGTCTACACACATACAGTCTCCTTGTCAACTGACTTCGCTCCTCAAAATCTGCTGCTTGAACCAGTGATTCAGTCAAAACCACTTCGATCCTTCGGAAAATTCTTGGTTAAATATATTTAATCTGATATCAACTTTATGCATTCAAAACATCTTATACAACTATGCTAATAGTTCCCAAACCCTATAACTCCTATTTATCTCTTGACACATATCTATCCACCAAACCCTTCTTGAGTCTATAGAATACGATCGGCTTGTGAACAGACTTCGCTCCTCAGGAATCTGCTTCTTGAACCAGTGATTCAGTCAAAACCACTTCGCTCCGGAAAATTATTTTTTAAATATTTTTTTATCCATATCAGTTTTATGCATTCAAAACATCTTTTTCATGAGTCAAAACATATATGGATTGTGCCCTTAAATAAGTCATGATAAGAAGTGGAGGGTGTGGATTCTTTTCTGTATTTCAACTGCTCGGTTCTCTATTTTAGTGAATGGATCCCCAGTTGGTTTCTTTGCTAGTTCTCATGGCTTGAGGCAGGGGGACCCTCTCTCCCTTTTCTTGTTTATTATAGTCATGGAGACTTTTAGCTGGCCGATGGGGAGGGTGGAAGGGCTTGGGTTCATTCAGGGATTTTCAGTGGGCAGAGTTCCAAATCAGTTAGTCATTTCCCACCTGCTCATTGCGGATGACACTATTGTCTTCTATGATGCTAGCCTCCTTTAGTTGAGGTATTTACGGTGTGTGTTGGCCTGCTTCCAAGTTGTTTCTGGGTTGAAGATTAACATTGGGAAAAGTGCTATTGTCCTAGTTGGGGAGGTGGAGGATGTTCAAGCCTTGGCTGATACTCTGGGGTGTGGTGTTGGCTCTCTCCCGATCTCCTACTTGGGACTCCCTTTGGGAGTCTCGTCAAGGAGAGTTTTTGTATGGGATCCGAATGTTGAGAGGTTCGAGAGGAGGCTTGCAGGTTGGAAGAAGCAATACTTGTCCAAAGGGGGGAGGGTTACTTTTATGAAAAGTATGTTCTCAAATCTCCCAACCTATTTTATGTTGCTCTTTCCAATGCCTAAGTCTTCGAAGACTCGACGATATTCATAGGAAGTTTTTGTGGGGACGGTTAGGAGATGAGTTCAAGTACCACTTGGTTAACTGGGAGAGAGTGTGTTCCCTTATTAATAAGGGGGGTTTGGGTATTTGAAGGCTGGATGTGTTTAATAAGCCGTTGTTGGGCAAGTGGTTGTGGAGGTTTGGGGGAGAGAGGTCCAAGATTTGGAGGCGCGTTATCGCTTGTCATTATGGGGAGGGAGATAGAGGGTGGCATTCTAAGGAGGCTAGAACCCTAGCAGGAATAGGCTTCTGGAAGCTAATCCATAGAGGGTGGGATGAATTCTCCAAATGTATTCGATTCAAGGTTAGAAGCGGAAGTTATGTCAGGTTTTAGGAAGACAGATGGTGTGGGGATTTGGCTTTAGCTTTCAAATTCCCGTGTCTTTACCTGATTGCTGTGTTTAGAGATGATGTGGTTGCAAACTATTATCATCTTGATAATGGGAGGGTGACTTAGGATGTGCAGGTCCATCGACAGTTCCATGATTGGGAACTTTTGGAGGTTTTTGACTTCCTAGTCTTCATTTATAGCCAGGTGGTGGTCGGCGTGGGTATGGATGAGATGCTGTGGGTGGGTACCTCGAGATGGGTTTTTGAGGTTAAGTCCTTCTACAATTGTATGTTGGAGCGTTCGGGTCCCAATTTTCCTTGGAAGGCCATTTGGAGGTCGAAAGCTCCACTGAAGGTAGCTTTCTTCTCACGGACTTCTGATTTGGGAAGCATCCTTACTATTGATAACCTTAGAAAAAGAAGTCATATTATGGTTAACAGGTGTTGTATGTGCAAGACGACGGGTGAATCTGTCAACCATCTTCTTATTCATTGCTCGGTGGCTAGGGATGTTTGGTCTATGTTTTTGGTTGCGTTTGGTCTTCCATGGGTATTCTCAGAATACACGGTAGACTTGTTAGAGACTTGGAAAAGGTGTACAATGGAGAGTCGAGTTAGAGATGCTTGGAGGGCCACTCCCTTTTATATTTGGTGGGGTCTGTGGCGCGAGAGAAATAGGAGATATTTTGAGGGAGGAGTCTCCCATTTGGGCTTATTAAATATAGTATTCTTACTTCTTTATTCTTTTGGGTAAATGGGTGGGACTGTAATTCAATGGATTGTATTTTGGATTTTGTGGATAGCTTAAAGTTATAGTGTCGTCTTGGACGTCCGTTGTCTTCTTTGGGAGCGCTTCACTTTTGAGCGTCTTTTATAAAATCTTACTTATAAAAAAAAAAAGGTATTCAAGAGGAAATTTTACCTTTTCGCCCTTTGATGTATCTTCAAATTCTGATTTTACCCTTGTTCATGGGTACCACCACTAGCTAGCTCGAATCAAAAGCTAAAAATAAAAATACAAACTCCAACTCTTTTTACAAAATTTACTATTGGGGTAGCGGAAGTGCGCGAATAAATAAAGATTATTGAAAGCCAACAAAGTAATCACACACAAACACAAGATATACATGGTTCAGCCAAAACCGGCCTACGTCCATGGATGAGAAGAGATTCCACTATGATTCGTAGAGATATTACAACAATAGAGTACCAACACCATGTACATATTGACTTTAAGATATAATTAAATCAAGAGTAGGTGATAAAGAAGAAGAAAAAGAGAAGAAAGCAGATGAGAGAAAAAGAGAGAGAGATGGGGAAAGAGAGAAAGAATGAAAGAATACTTTCATCCTTCCACCACATTCTATTTATAATAACAAGTTTCGGAAATTACACATAAGCCCTAACATTATATAAGTAATAACAAATAAGCCCCTGACAACACTCCCCCTCAAGCTGGTGCAAAGATATCTATCATGCCTAGCTTGACTAACATATTTTGCAAGCAATTCTTGCTCACACCCTTAGTCAAAACATCAGCAACCTGATCATGTGTATTGACGTATGGAGTACAAATTAGCCCAGGACGAAGCTTTTCCTTGATGAAGTGTCGATCGACTTTAATGTGCTTGTCCTGTCATGTTGAACTGGATTGTGGGCAATGCTAATAGCAGCCTTGTTGTCACAATAAAACTTCATTGACTCGTGAACAGGATGACCTAACTCACCCAACATCGTACGTAGCCATAACTCACAAACTTCATGTGCCATGGAATTTGAATTCAGCCTTTGCCCTAGATCTAGCTAGTACAGACTTTTTCTTGCTTCACTATGAAACAAGATTACCTCCAACAAATGTGCAATATCCTGAAGTAGATCGTCGATCTGTCACTAACCCTGCCTAATCAGCATCAATATAGGTTGTCAACACGCAAGTGGCCATGACTGCCAAATAATATCCCCTTACCAGCCTACCAAGTGAACCCTTGAGGTAGCGAAGAACATGATGAGCTGCCTCAAGGTGAGGTGTACGTGGAGTATGCATAAATTGACTAATCACACTAATAGTGTAGGCAA